TTTTATCTCCCAGATCCACCACAAGAAATGCAGCTGGCTATACCCTTGAGTCCAGGATTTCTGATTTTCAGAAATATAAGATGATAGACTTGTGTTATTTTAAGACACACAACATTATCTTCTAAAAGATCACATCAATAGAAAAGTAATACATGCTAAAATTGGTGTTTCCATCTTTCTCTTAATGAATATTTGTCTGAAATTCTCTTTATTATGAGGCTATACAGTTACTAAGAGTTTTCTAAATGCACAAGCAAATAATGGTGAAATGTGTTGTACAGAAAAACAAACCACAGTGAGGTCCAGGAAGCTCAGGCCAGCAGGGATATGTACTGTTTTTGTTGATAACTATTTAATAATTTGCTTTCAGAAAAATACAATAAAATATGTGCTTTGTAGCATCTGCCATTTTCCTTGGTGTACATGTGTATCCCAAGTCCACTTCCTAGCAGCCAATGTAATGTCCCTGACCCAGAGGTGGAAGGCAGTGGTATCAGCTCCTACTTACACCTGGGCGTCTGTGCGCATGTGTATTTCTAAGTATACATGTGGGTACACGTGTAAAGTCTCTATTTCAAATAGAATCTCTTGCTGTACTTGTCAGAGTAGAAACCTGAAAGAGGTGAAGTAACCACCTATGCTGATAAGTGGGGAAAAAAAGTTCCTGGAAGAGGGACTAGTAAGTGCAAACATCTGATGGAGGATTGTCTTTCAGGGCCTTTGATGTATTTCAGATGTTTCCAAGGGACATTGTCTTCGTCTGTTTGGGCTACTGTAACACACTGAGTGGCTTATAAACAATAGAAATTCATTTCTCACAGTTCTGGTGGCTGAGAAATCTAATATCAATAAGGCTGCCAGGGATAGATGTGTTCTGTTGAGCACCCTCCTGATTCCCAGATGCTGCCTCGGCTGTGTCCTCACATGCTGGAAAAGCAGAGACTGTCTTTTTGGATTGTTTTTTAGTATAAGGACATTAAGTCAATTCATGGGAACTGCAAGAGCTAATCACCTCAGAAATGCCCTGCCCCTGATATCATCACAATGCTGATGAGGTTTCAGCATCCTCATTTTGGGAGGACATAAACTAACATTACAGTGGCTATCAAGGAGGCTAATACAGCTGAAAAGGGTGATCTGCTCATTTGTGGGAATAAGGTCAGAGAGTGAACTATATGTTTGCACGTTCACTTGTGAGGGCAATAAATCCTTATAGGTGTGGGTGTAAAAATTAACACGATTGACTGAAATCTGGTCCAGAGAAATAGCAAACTTTTGTGAGCCTTGGAAATCACCTTTGACAAGCAGCGGTTTCCCATTGACAAAGGTCTTGCAGTCTGACTTTCAGATTAAAAGAATATTGTTTGAAAGACTGTGGTTGTTTATAACATCCCAGATAGGAACAGCTTCCTATTCTTGGACTTTTTCTGACTTGCTCTTTATTTAAAAGAAGTATTGTTTACTGGTGATCCCCTTGCCCTAGTCCTTAGTGTATGGGAAGATTGCTTCCACTAATCTAAATTTGTTCAAAAATTTGTGTAACTGTATTAACCAATCAAAATTTGTTCAAAACAAATTACTTTCCCTCACCCAATCACTTGCCTTTTCCCCTTTATTAATCTAGTACTTCTCCTTACAGAACATGTTTGATTTCTGTGTCTCTTGATTTTCAAATATGTTACTGAAAGGGTCTTTGCTTTGAACATTGTTTATGATTTCTTGCTTTAAATAGGTCATTGTAGGAACTTTTTTTTTTTAGATGGATGGGAAGCCATTGGAGGGGCTGCAGGGGGAATGGTGACATAATCCAGGTAGATATGACTTGTTTGTTGAACATAAGTAGAAACAGGCTGATGTGATGGTGGCTTGGACAGGGGCAATAGCAGCAGGAACATGAGGTGAGCTGTTTGCTGAAAGACTAAATGAGAGGTGTGACAAAGAGAGAAAGCAAAGCTGAACGAAAGATTTTGGCTTGAGTAGTTGGAAGGATGCAAGTGGCATCAGCTGTGAATGGAAGTGGGTGCGAGGACGCGGGAAGGTCAAGGGCTAATCTTGGCATGTCATGTTCAAGATGACATTGGGAGTTCTAGCCTAGTGGAGAACTAAGTCTGCATGTCTGAAATTTAAGGGAGAAAAGAAGCAATGAGTTTTGCTTTAAAAGCCATATGAGATGAGATCACACATGAATAAAAATAGAGAAGATGTGTGAGGACTGAATCACCGAGGGGGACAAGAAGGAATCAGACACAGAGAGAATTGTATCCACTTAAAGAAAATGTTTTCTTGGAGGAAAGAGTCATGCAACCTGATAATTACTTCCAGTTGGTCAAATGAGCTAGAGCCTGGGAATTGATCACTGCTTTGAAAGTCTCATATTAGTGGTTGTTTGTATCTGTGCAGGGATGTACCAAAGTGTGATTCAAGAGAGAATGTGAAAGAGTAATTGGAGTTATTGGATTTATCTAGCTGTTTCTAGTTTTTATGTCAAAAGGAAGCAGCTAAAAATAGGTTCAAGTAAGGATTTTCAAAAGACTTAAATGATAGCCCGTATGGATGATGGAGAAAAAAAAATTCACCAAGAAGGAAAAATCATAAAGCAAAAGAAAAGGGAGAACTGCTATCTAGCATCCTTCAAAAAAAGGAGAATGCGCAAGTGGAGTGGCTGTCATGTCATTTATGGGAACACATGGAAATCTGGTGCATAGATGAGGAAGTGAAAGTGCATACTAAATCCCTAATGGTTGCTTCAATTTTTCTAGTGAAGCTAAGAGTAGAGGTGGAGTGGAAAGTGAGGGAGAAAGATATCACATAATTCTTTAAGAGGGTGAGTGAATAAACTGCTTTAGCAAATGTCAAAAGATTGCAGCAGTACTTAGAGTTCACTCAAGTGGCCCTGAATTTAAACTGAGATGAAACACAGAGTTACATATGTGGTTCTCATAAGCTAATATTGGTGCACAGACACATACATAGAACATTGGAAATTTAGCTGGCAGAGTCTAGGTGTGTGAGATGAACGGCAAAAGCAGTGAAAGGGGAAACACAAGGTGACACTGTAAAGGAGCATGAGGGCGAAGATCAGGCATGGAGTGGGACTGGGTTCTGGCATTTACAGAAAAGAGAGAGGACAGTGACTCCAGTGGCATCTAAGAATGGTTGGAGTTGTAGTAAAGGAAAGAGGAAGTTCAAAATGTAGGACATGGGGTTCAAGAGTGAGACAACTGCATTAAGGTCACTGAAGAGTTTGGTATTTGGTAAGACGAAGCGTAGTATATAAATACAGGTGTGAATGACTTGTAGGTTGTAAGACAAGAACACTGGAAGAATGGAAGTCCTGGAATTGGGAGGTCAGACAGTGAGGGGAAGGATGTTTAGACCACAGCAATTACTACAGTTGGATCTCCAGGAGGAGCCAAGCTCCATCAGCTGGCAGTGTGGACATCACATGACTGCACTCAGATGCAGTGAATCAGAAAATGTGGAAGTTGTAACCTGCAGCATTCTAATAAGACCCCTGGATGGTTCTGGATGAAGTTTGAGAATAATGTTATGTGTTGGGGCATGAGAGGACAGACGGCCAAAGTGCTGACCCCAAGTCCCGGAATGCTGGTTCTCACTGGGACACAGGTGTCCCAAAAGTGACATGCTGGAGCACTTAGACTGCAGAACCACTCCCTAATTCCTTCTTTCTTCTTATTCCTGGTTTACATTCCCTTTTATTCATAAACAGATGCTGTTTTATCTAGATGTTCTGTCTTTAGTTTAAACAGGGTGCATCTGTTCTTAGCTTGTTGTGATTGCCCTTTATCTTACTCATACCTTCTTGTGACTATTGTTAATCATCAAACCACTGTGACCTTGCTTTTGTGTGTCACCTTGAAACTGCTATAAAGACCCTAAGTAAGAAGTAAACTTTGCCATTAGCCATCAGCTTTTGGTCATTCATTGTGTCTGTGGTTGTCTCCCTAGTCCCCTCCTCTAGAAGGAGACCTCAACAGTTATGGTCATGCAGAAGATGGAGAAGTTAACTTCTTGGAGATGTAAGAAAGGCTTCAATGAATTAGTGTTAATTTACACCGGAAAATGATGGATTATAAGGTTTAGTGGGAGATGTCTTAAATTTAAAGGGAGTAATGTTTATAAAAAATGTTAGAAATATGAAAAGAACTAATCTCAAATCAAATTATGTAAAAGTGTAAACTGTTAGCTGTTAATACCAGAAAATCAGACATTGGTAGAAAGACAGTGGTTCTTAAGGAATCCTGATACAATAATCAAACTTCTTTTAAAAATCTTTATTATCACACATTTGCGGTATATAATGATTACACTCCTCATGGGGAGTTAGTGTGCACGCATGCACACACACACACACACACACACACACTCACCTTAGTTCTTTTAAATATCTTTTTCTCACTCCCCTACCCCTCCACCTCAGTCCTCTTTCCATTTGCAAAAGATCTTTCTCCGTTTATTTTGCACCTTTTATTGTACTTTTAAATTTATTTATAATTTGTTTTTCATATAAGAGAAACTATGCGATATCTAAGCTTGTGTGTATGATTTACTTCATCTAACAGTATAGTCTCAAGGTGCATCCATTTTCCGATGACTCGTTATCTTTATGGCAAGGCAGTATTTCACTGTGTGTAAATACCACAATTTACTTATCCACTCATCTGTTGATGGACATACAGGCCACTTTCAACATTCAGGGATTAGGAGGTGTGCTGCTATAAACATTTCAGTCCGTGGGTATTAGGCTCAGTGTTGACGTGAGAACTTGGAGAGCAAGTGAAGCTGCCCTGACTTAGAAACTCATACATTTTCCCATCATCTCAAGGATTCGAGGAGAAACAGCTCCATAGAGCAGTTTCAACGCCGAACTACTGGGAAGACCCGCAGCCACTGCACTAAGCTTCTCAGAGCTGGGCCTAGCCCACTGCGGGCGTCAATCGTCCAGGCACTTCCGGCGGCGGGGCGCTTGAGGGCAACGTCACTTCCGGGCGCCGGCACGCAGCGTCGGCGGCGGATTCAAACCGACGAGCTGTGGTCTCCGAGATTGAAGAAGCGGTAGGGGGCCTGGTTGGTCCTCGGCGCCCCAGCTTTCCTGAGTTCCTGGGCGGCTCCGAGCCTCTTGGAAGCCGAGGAGGCGGGTGCCTGAGCGGGGTATGGCGGTCTCGGCCACAGTCTCCCAGAGGAAGCGGATCAGGCGCAGAGCTCCCCGCGGCTTCCTCAGGCGCGTCTTCCAGCGGCGGAAGCCCCACCTTCGTCTGGAGATGCGCGGCGATGTCCTGGTGAGCGCCGGCCTCCGGGCTGGGCCTGTGGGGGCTGTGACCGCTTGTTGTCCTCGCCCCCGTCAGGGTTAGGCTCTGCCCCGCCTCTCGTCAGCTCTGGTCCAGTCCTTAGTGGTGAGACCCAGTGTATAGACGTCGGGAGCTTTACGGAGAAGACGGCGACAACGTCAGCTCAGTGACAGAACTCTGCTAGGAAGCCTTACGGATTTTTAATTCCCGGAACGGAATAGTCTGATCGGGTGGTTAGTGTGCTTGCAAAGGGTATGCAACAAACACTATGCAAAATAGAGTTTTGGAATTCAGCCTGTGTCATTCTTAAACTTTTTGCCTTTTCAATGTGTTTACCGAACACACGGACCTGTTTGGTTTACTTTAGGCTGCTCACCAAAGAACTGATCCAAAGTGTGCTCAACTGTGAGTTCATCTTCCTAGACGCACAACGTAACACCTGTTTGTTACAAAAGCTATTTACTTGTAATACCGGAAGCATAATGCTTCCCTAATAAAACCCCCAGTCAAATCGGTATGTAATACAGAGCTTGTGTGTTGGATGCCTATGACATGTTTCCGTAACAGAATGGACACTATTTCCCCAGGTTTAAACCGTAGAAGGCCCTTCCTGTGGCATTTCACAAGAACTGTCTTGAGTAAAGGAGCTATTAGGAGTAGGCGATTTCCAGGAGATTAGCGTAAAGAATTGTGGATGGCAAGGGCATACTGCATGGATAGTCCTGGACATTCATCATTCCAGCTGTTCTTAAACTACATTGTATTTTTACTTTTTTTTTTCTCTGTTACCTGCAGTTTTCCATTGCTCTCCTGTCTGTTGCCTCCTGTTAAGGTTTTTCTTTTTCTTTTTTTTTTTTCCTAGACTGTAAAATTATCTCCACTTTTCCCTTGTTTGGTCTTTGAAGCCAAAACACCTTTCCCCCACTACTTCGGTTATCTCCTGCCTTCCTTTTTGCTTCTTCCTCTTGTTATATAAGAAAGGACAATATATGCTGTTGTGCCCCCACTCCTACCCTTTGGTGGTGGTAGAAGTGGCACAGATGAGCTGGATTAGAGAAATTCACTTTCAACAATTTAGTGTAGTTTATTCTCAAGTTTTCACTGGGAATTCTAAAGAGCAGGAAATGTAGCTGATCAAGGATAGCCAGGAGACAAGCTGGTAAAATTTGGCAGAAATTTCTCTAGTAGCCATCATCCTTGCAACATTCACCCCTTTCTGCCCTGGAGTGACCTGTGCACGAGTAAGCCCCATGGTGGGGTGAGATCTAGGCGGTATGGAAAAGAAGGAGAGTCAAAATTCAAACCTTTGCCCTGGGGGAAAGGAAGGTCTTTTGGCCACCAGCTGTTCCCGGGTGGTCTGCTTGTCTTCTATGGCTTTCATTGAGCAGGTCTCCTATACCATCTTGTATATGCCATGCATCAAACTCATTTTTTTGCTTATGGATGTCACCCAGCAGTTGCCCCAGATTTATAAAGTTTTTTAACAGTTAAGTCAGTCTTGTCTGTTTGAACACAGACTATTTTGAGCAGTAAGATTGTGCATCGTACAGTTTAGCTATTGATACTACAGTGCTGTTCCAAAGGCATTGTGTGTATTGATGTTGTCTCAGTGTAGCATCCAACATCCTGAAGGTAAAGAACCGTATCTCTTTTGCTATCTCCCTTTATTTATTTTTTAATACAAAACTAATCTTTTATGCTTTTTTTACATGATATTTTTCTGCCTGGTGATGTCTTATCTCCACTCTGTGAACTACAATTGTTTAAAAATCCAGTTAAAATGCCACTTTGGTGAAACTCAGTCTTCTTAAAAAGGATCAATTTTATCTGTCACCTATTGTCATATTTGTTATTAATTTCTTTATGGCTTGTTTCTCCCACTAGTCTACGACCATGGGTTGGCCACTTTTTGTACTCATTGTTTAGCACAGTATCATAAGCATTCCGAGTGCACAGTTAATGTTGAAAATAGATGGTAGGTATATGTGGATTGATGTCATTTTTAGTACCTGTAAGTTCTTTGTGTTGTAGCTTTTCTGCACTGGCTTTTCATTATTTTATGTTTTATGCTTTATCTGATTGTATATCTCTAGGTCCTCTAGTGCTAAAAGATACTATCAAATTTAAGTATCAGTTTTCTAGTAACACTTTAGCTTCTAGATTTATCACAGAGGAATGCTATGCAAATATTTGGGTACTTATCATTTATGTAAAAATTAAAAAGTGCTATGACAGTGAGGAGGAAGTTGTGATGGCTTACTCTTTTAGTCAGCTGAGACTGTAAAGAAATGGACTTCTTTGTGCAAGTTTTC